TGTTATCCACGTAGCCTTCACTTCTCAACCATCAAAAATAATAGATAGCACAAAACCCAAACCATGTAATCTACTACTAATTGCTTAATGAAGCATTTTCTGTTCTCTCATATTACTATCATTTTCGTAAATTTATTTATGGTGTAGCTTAAATTCGTAAAATAAAAAATATATATATATAATTTTATTATATAAGTAGAAGGGAACACAAGGCACTATCTACTTGCTGCCTAGTCCTTACCGAAAACTAGAGGCCAGGGTCTGGAGTGTGGGGGTTTGTTTATCTCAAACTCCACAAGAACAGAACACAACAGAGGTTGAGAAGAAGCCTCAAACTATGGCGGCAGAGTCATCACTGAGGGTGGCAACTACCACTCTATGCAATCTCAATGGATCGCAGAGGAGGCCAACCCCTCTCTCTCCGCTTCGCTTCATGGCTTTTCGCCCTCGACCCTCTCACTCTCTCACTTCCTCTTCCCTTTCACACTTTTTCGGCAGCACCAGAATTAACTCCAACTCTTCCACTTTACGCCAACTTCCTCCTAGAAGAAACTTTTCCGTTTTTGCCATGTCCGCTGATGGTACCTATCTCTTTTTCTCTTATAGCTTTTTTTCTTCCCGCTTTGGCCAGAATGTAGGTTTGGTTTCTTAGAAGAAATCAAAATGAATGTGATGAAAAAGGTTTTTTTTTTTTCCTTTAAATTTCAGTTTTTGTTTATGGGTTTGGTTCATTTGTGTATCATCCTTGAAGTTTATGAATTATACTTGAATTTCGGCTTCTTATGATATTAGGGGGGAAAAACCATCATTTTTATGTTCTATTGAGCTCTGAATTGAGATAAGGTGTCTTAAAAGATAATGGTTTTTCTTATTTATATTTCCCACGGTCCAATTTTATTATTCTACAAGACTATGAAGTGGTTTGTTTGCTTTCTTTCATCCTTTGGATAGTGACACTTTTTCAACTTTGCTTCCAGATGCAAAGCGAAGTATTCCATTGAAGGATTATCGCAACATTGGCATCATGGCTCACATAGATGCTGGAAAGACTACCACAACTGAAAGAATTTTGTACTATACTGGAAGGAACTACAAAATTGGTGAGGTGCACGAGGGAACCGCAACCATGGATTGGATGGAACAAGAGCAAGAAAGAGGGATTACCATTACTTCTGCTGCAACCACTACATTTTGGAACAAGCACCGGATCAACATTATTGATACTCCTGGTCATGTCGACTTCACCTTGGAAGTGGAGCGGGCTCTTAGGGTGTTGGATGGAGCTATTTGCTTGTTTGACAGTGTTGCTGGTGTAGAGCCACAATCAGAAACTGTGTGGAGGCAGGCTGATAAGTACGGGGTCCCGCGAATTTGTTTTGTCAATAAAATGGACCGGCTTGGAGCTAACTTTTATCGAACAAGAGATATGATAATAACGAATTTGGGTGCTAAGCCACTTGTAATTCAGTTGCCAATTGGTGCAGAAGATAGCTTTAAGGGTGTTGTAGACCTTGTTAGGATGAAAGCTATAGTTTGGTCTGGAGAAGAGCTTGGTGCCAAGTTTGATATTGTAGATATTCCAGAAGATGTTCTAGAGCAGGCTCAAGAGTACCGTTCCCAGATGATAGAAACCATAGTTGAGTTCGATGACCAGGCTATGGAGAACTATCTAGAAGGAATTGAACCGGATGAAGAAACTGTAAAGAAATTAATTAGGAAGGGAACCATATCAGCCAGTTTTGTGCCAGTGATGTGTGGCTCAGCCTTCAAAAACAAGGGAGTCCAACCGTTGCTTGATGCCGTAGTGGATTATCTACCATCACCACTTGACTTGCCAGCAATGAAGGGAAGTGACCCTGAAAACCCTGAAGCGACCTTAGAGAGGGTAGCAAGTGATGAAGAACCATTTGCTGGACTAGCTTTTAAGATCATGAGTGATCCATTTGTAGGCTCCCTTACATTTGTCAGGGTATATGCTGGAAAGCTAACTGCTGGGTCTTATGTACTCAATGCAAACAAAGGGAAAAAGGAGAGAATTGGTAGACTCTTAGAAATGCATGCAAACAGCAGAGAGGATGTTAAAGTAGCTTTAGCAGGTGATATTATTGCTCTTGCAGGTCTGAAAGATACTATCACTGGTGAAACGTTATGTGACCCAGATAATCCAATCATGCTCGAGCGGATGGACTTCCCTGATCCTGTTATTAAGGTTGCAATTGAACCCAAGACTAAAGCTGATGTTGACAAGATGGCAACTGGTTTAATCAAGCTTGCACAGGAAGACCCTTCTTTCCACTTCTCCCGTGATGAAGAGATTAACCAGACAGTGATTGAAGGAATGGGAGAATTGCATCTTGAGATCATTGTTGATCGGCTTAAAAGAGAATTTAAGGTAAATATCTCTTGTTCCATTTTTGAGAATTTTCAGTTATCGGTTACAATGGTTGTGTTGTATTAGTTTTTTTGTCTTTCAAATTCTTAACTCTCTAACCTTGATGTTGTGGATGAAATAGTTCCAATTAGAAATAATAAAAGTAAATAAACATTAGTATTTGACGAAGGAGTAAAGAAACATAAAAGGTATGATCTTTACGACGCATGACAGCTGACTCTCGGTAAAATCTGTGTCTGTCATCTGATAAAACATTGGTATTTGTTAGGTGTACTATTTTTGTATATGATCATTCCCTTGACATAACTTTTGCTTCTCTTCCCCTTCCCTTTTTCTCTTCTTTCTTCAGTAGTTTTATGTTAAAATGTTTATATATATTTTAATGATTATGCAGTAATATAACGTAATTTTATGGAGATCACATTATGTATATTTGTTAACGCAGGTGGAAGCTAATGTTGGTGCCCCCCAAGTGAACTACAGGGAAAGTATTTCCAAAACCGCAGAAGTGAAGTATGTGCACAAGAAACAATCAGGTGGACAAGGTCAGTTTGCAGATATCACTGTACGGTTTGAACCTATGGACCCAGGTAGTGGATATGAGTTCAAGAGTGAAATCAAAGGAGGTGCTGTACCAAAAGAATACATTCCTGGGGTAATGAAAGGATTGGAAGAGTGTATGAGCAATGGTGTGCTTGCTGGTTTTCCGGTTGTTGATGTACGAGCAGTACTTACAGATGGTTCTTACCACGATGTAGATTCAAGTGTGTTGGCTTTCCAGTTGGCAGCAAGAGGAGCTTTTAGGGAAGGAATAAGAAAAGCTGGACCAAGGATGCTTGAGCCTATAATGAAGGTTGAAGTTGTTACTCCTGAAGAACATCTTGGTGATGTAATTGGTGATCTCAACTCTAGAAGAGGTCAGATCAACAGTTTTGGCGACAAACCGGGTGGCCTTAAGGTATTTCAAATAACTTGCTCCTCCTTATGGGATTAGTCTGTTAAATTTGAAGGTATGACTTAAAAATACTAATGCTGTATTGTTTGTCTGAAAATGAACAATGTTTCAATTGATATGTTTTATACACAATTCTAATTTCTGGGGCAAACACTAAAAAGTACAATTTGTTCTTTTTTTTTTTCCTTGATTAGTCTGAGGTTGCTAGGATGAATGAAGGAAATATGTTTGTTCTTTTTTTTTCCTTGATATTGGTGCTATTATTTGGATTGGAGGATCTTTTCTTACTTTTGGTGGTGACAAACGCAGGTGGTTGATTCCCTGGTACCTCTTGCTGAGATGTTCCAGTACGTCAGCACACTAAGAGGGATGACAAAGGGCCGTGCATCCTACACAATGCAATTAGCCATGTTTGATGTGGTGCCTCAGCACATTCAGAACCAACTTGCCTCAAAAGAGCAAGAAGTTGCTGCTTAATGTATTTGCTTGGTCTCCTAACAAGAAACTTTTCCTTTGATAGTTGTATTATGTCCTTTGTCAAATAGTTGGGTTTGTTTTGGTATTTTTTATTGTAATTTTCCTTGTACCAATACAAGGTTAGCCAACATAAATTTTCAGAAGAAAAATAGGAAACGATTTTTCTTCCCATGTTGGAGTCAATGAACTGTTATGATTTATGGGGCAAACAATAATTTTTTTAGGGGGGGGGGGG